CGGTACAGAGGTCCAGCGCACACACAGACACACACACACACACACACAGACAACCTCTCGTCATTATGCGTTTTTCGCATTGCACTGCTGCAAAAAAAGCATAAAAAATATATGAATAATAATCGTATTAAAAGTGAGCATATTTTAAGACGCTCGCATTCCACGATATTTCGCCGCAAGCGCCGGTACATTTCCTGGTGGTACCGAAGCAACCGATTACTATGTTGCAGAATTGCAAGGATGAGGTTCGTTTTTTCGGTCTTTTTTTTTTCTTGCAATTTATTAGAACAAACACCGGGATCATTTTTATGGAACTCGCAGAAGTGTTCAAATGCGAAAAATCCTAGTGCTTAAGAGGAGAAAAAACTAGCCGAGTAGTAGCGAAAATTTTGATGATGATATATATGTGTTAGGTCCTCACGTTGTCTTTGATTACAGCAGCGGAAGACAGCGAAGAGTGCCAGCAGTTTATTCCCAACAAAAGCTTCACTTCAATAAAACGACGAGCCGGGGTGCCGCACAAGCTAATGAGTAGAGGAGGGATGCCAGTTGTGTCGAGGCGGCCAGTTAGTAGAGTTAATTGTGACAGGACGTGACAGGCCAGTGACGCGCTCTGATTCCGAGACTAAGGACCAGGGTTTGCGGAAGGGGTTTATATAGGGAAAATTAATGGAAAAGAAAGGAGGGCAAGGTATTTAGCAAGTGAGGAGATGGAATTATTTAGATTTGGTGAAACGGTTAGAAATTAATGAGCGGAGAGAAGTAGACCAAAGTGTTAAGGATTAGTGAGAGGAGGGAAACAGGTCGAATTGTAGGGTTACATATGAAATATGAAAAAATATTGAAAAACAGTAGATGAACATAAATGTTTTGGTCCCATTAATCGTACACATTTCTATAACTGGACTTCGTCAGTACCGTTTTTCTTTTGCTTTTACTTTTTTTAATGCGTTTTGTGCTGTGTAACGGCGTTACAAAACGCATATTGTCACAGGGTTGTCTGTGTGTGTGTTTGTGTGTGTCCACATTTTGTCCCGCACTTTCAACTCGGGAACCACAAAAGATAGCCGGCTGAAATTTTGGTACAGTGTTCCTCGCCAACGGGTGACGCGGCAAATCTAAATTTAGCCTTCCCTTACCCGCGGGTGACACGTACGGCCCCGTGAAAGTTTTGTACGGGTAAATTAATACCTCGGGAACCACGGAGTCTAGGAGGCTGAAATTTTAGGGTATGACCCCCCGCCCACGCTCAATCTTGCCCATTCAAATTTAGCGTTCCCGCGCTCTGGGGTATCACTACAGGCTAGTGAAAATTTTTACAGGTAAACTATTATCTCGGGAATCGCGGGGTCAAGGAAGTTGAAATTTTAGGGTAATGATCCCCCTGCCCACGCTCAATCTTGCCTATTTAAATTCAGCGTTCCCGCGCTCTTGAGTATCACCTGCGGCCTCGTGAAAATTTTAGCGGGTAAACTGTTAATTCAGGATAAAGATATTCACCCTTCAAGGTTTCGAATTCAGGTTTCATGCGCTGGTGCGTGAAATTTTTA